GTCATACTTTTTAGATGATTCCTTTAGTGCTTTCTAGCATAGACTAGTGGATCCAGTTAGTAGTTCAGGTCCTATACCTTTGGCCGGGTATAGGATGCGCTGGCAGCGTGAGGTAGATCGCTGTATCATCACTATAGCTCTTATGTGATAGTTGTCGGTTAGATAAACTCCCACAGAAGTTATTGTAATTTTATATACATCAGTTTATTGTATTTTTATATACATTTCAGAGTTATGTTGTATCCTTGCATACACACAGATTTGACAGCATGTTTTTAAACAATTTGTTTCTTTATATTGCACTTGTTTTAAATTGCTTTATATTGAAATGAGTTCAGTCATATTTAGTTGAATCTTCAGAGTTGAGTATCCAGAGTCAAATATCATATTTTTGAGTCGAATATCATATCCTTGAGTTGAGTATCTAATCTCGGAGTTGAGTATCTTATCATTGAGTACTTCTGAGTTGAGTAAGTTTGAGTAGTTTTGAGTACCTTTGAGTATTTCTTGAGTTGAGTAAGTTTGAGAAGAGGTGAGTATGTTTCATTTCTATCAAGTTTCAAGCTTATGTTTATGTTTTAGAATTCCTTTTACATGCTCGTACATTCCACGTACTGAGCAATTTGGCCTGCATCTTCTCATGATGCAGACACGGATATTCAGGATCATCAACAGGAGCTTCGTTGATACATCCGAGAGTTCGAGTTAGCTATGGTGAGCCTCCTTGCTTTCGGAGGATTTCATTTACCTTTTAGTTATATCAGTTGTTAGGATGTCGTGGGTCTTGTCCCGACTTTCATCTTTATCAGCTAGAGGCTTCATAGATAGTCAGTACAATTGAGAAGTCTTTATCATTTATTTATTAAATGTTTTAAAGACTAAAGTTGCCTTTTTATGGCGAGTTGTATATATTTTATTATACAGAGTTTTCTTTGGACTTAAAGTTTGTATTTAAGTTTTATGAACTTTTATTTCAGTTTTTAAGCTTTGTATGCTTGAATCAGTTTTCCGCTTGTAGTTAGCCAGGATGAGGGTTCGCTTGGGGACCAGCAATGGTCTTCGAGTGCCGGCCACGTCCAGGGTGTAGGCTCGGGTCGTGACATCATCTTTCGAAGAGTCCGGAGGAACTGAATAAATTTCCCATGTGTACTACAAACATCTTTTGCCATTGTTTAATTCAATAGGTGAAATTTTGGTGTGTGCCCCAATTGCACATGTCCAATCAAATACATGTATTGATAACATGTGTAAGTGATAAACTTCTTAAGCATCGTCTCTTGCCTATTTTGGTTGCATTAGAGGAAATATTTGAATTGTAGTGTTTGTAACTATATGACCTCTATATAAGTAGATAAATCAACAAAACTTTGCGCTAAAATATGGATGTTGCTCTTACAAAAAAAATATATTATCAATGGAACATGTTGGGCCGTGCAGAGCACGACTTCCCTTATTTAGTATATAGTAAGAAGAGTAAAATGACGATACAACCTGTCACGACCCAAAAATGAATGTGATAGCACTCGTCTTATCTCACCAAGACAAGTCAGCCTAAAACTCAATCATTACAATAAAATGCGAAATTTTTTATAATCAACTCAAAAA